ATTTATTACTAAAAACCAAGAGAGGCCAAGTTCATGCTTATAGTAATAGCTGACCTTAATGTCACATAAAAATTTTTCCTACTGTCAGCTGTCCATGTTAAGAGAGCAAATCAATACGCAGCTTAAGGCCAACAAATGTTTATAATTATCAAGAACAGAACAAAATCAAGGCATACTCAAACTTGGAATACCCTGTACAGTTCTACTAGCTGCTTGTCAAAAAGGCATAATGGCACTAGGAAAACACTGTAAAGGAGACAATTAAAATTAATAGATGCCTTAGCTGTCTATACCAGCCTATGATGCTATTCAATAAAATTTTATTACCTTGTCTCTCTCAAATCATTAGAAATTGACCAAAGTGAAATGCAATCATCCTCTTAACAGAGTCTTTCACAAAGATAAATTTTTATTTTGGTTAAGTCCAATTACTAATTTTTAATTAAAAAAATTTTTTAAATAGGTCATGGTTTTGGTGTTATGTCTAAGACTTCTTCATCAAGTCCAAGGTTCTGCAGATTTTCTCTTGTTTATTCTAAAAGTTTCATTTTATGCTTTATAATTAAATCTTATGATCCATTTTGAATTAATTTTTGTATAAGCTGTGAAGTCGAGATCAAAGTTCATTTTTTAACCTATGGTTAAGCGGATGAAAAGATAAGCCACAAACTTGGGAGAAAATATTTGCAAAGCACCTATTTGACAAAGGACTCATACCTAGAATCTATAAAGAGCTTTCGAAACTCAACAGTCAAAACACAAACAGCCCAATTAGGAAGTGGGCAAAAGGATATGAAGAACTACTTCACTAAAATAGTTCTTTATATTCAATAAAATATGGATGGCAAGTAAGTAATGAAAATATTTTTGACACTACTTATCATTGCAAAAATGCAAATGAGGATCATGATGAGTTATCACTGCACATCTATTTAGAACAGCTAAAATAAAAAAAAATGACAATACCAAATGCTAGTGAAGGTGCAGAGAAACTGGATCTCTCATACATTACTGATGGGAATGTAAAATGGTACATCCTCTCTAGAAAAGTGTCAGTTTCTTCAAGAACTAAACATAACATTTACCATACAACCTAGCAATTACACTCCTGGGCATTAATCTCAGAGATATGAAAAGTTATGTCCACGTAAAAACCTGTACATGATTGTTCACTGCAGGTTATAACAGCCAAAAACTGGAAATAACCAAAATCTCTAATAGGTTTATGCTAAAATGTGACATCCATACCATGAATACTACTTAGCAGTAAAAAAGAACAAACTGTTGATACAACTTGGATGGATCTCAGGGTCATTATGCTGAATGACAAAAGCCAATCTCAAAAGGTCACATACTGTATTTATGTAACATGGAACATGACAAAATTAGAGATGGAAATTAGTGGTCACCAGGGGTTAGTGGGCAGGGGGTAGGCAGGTTTGACTACAAAGAGGTAGCATAAGGGAGATTTTTGTGGTGATAGACTAATTCTGTATCTTGACTGTGGTGATGGCTATACTATACTCATGTGACAAAATGATACAAAACTATACATATACTTGTACCAGTATCAACTTCCTGGTTTTGATATTGTACTATAGTTACATAAAATGTAACCAACGGGGGAAACTAGGCCAAGCATACACAGGGATCTTTCTGTATTATCTTTGCAACCTCCCATGAATCTATAATTACTTCAGAATAAAAAGTTTTAAACAATCCAATCAATGTTAAAATCATCCAAGAGTTTGGGAAACATGGGAGAATTTATAAATTTGTTGAAAAGGGTAATGCAAACCAAAGTGCAAACCAAAGATGGATAGGGATGATCATGGTGCAGCCTAGAAAGATAGCTGGAGAGTTTGTTCAACTCCCCAAAATAGATAGTTCAACCAAACATTTACTGAATACCTAGTATATGCAAGACATAGTGCTATAAATAGCAGTGGGGTTAAGAAAAAGGTCAAGCACTTACCTCTGAATTAATTTACTAAGAAAATAGAACAATTGTTAAAGGCCTCAGGGCCTCTGCAAAAGCAGTTTCCTTTGCCTGGAACACTCTTCTGTTTTTCTAGTTAGTTCTTAACCATCCTTGAACTCTCAGTTCATTGTCGCTTCTTCAGGGAAATCCTCCCTAGCTCTCCTCATTGCCCTCTCCATTAGACCAGGTTCCCCTACTACATGCTCATACACACCCTATATTTTTCATTCATAACACTAATCACCATTCACAAAGAACTGTATAATGATTTGATATCTATTTTCCCCATTAGGCTAAAATTTCCAAAGGGCAAAAACAGGTCTATGCCACTCACCACTGCATTCCCAAACCCAATGCCATGCCTGGCAAATGACAGAAGTTCAAAATATATTACATGAATGAATCCATACAAAGCTATAATTCATATGTACAAATGAGCAGGCAAACAGTAAGAGTTACTGGGTTTGGAAGAACCCAAGATCACTTCAATTTGAGAAAGCCAGTTTATATGGGAGAGAAGGTTCATGCAGAGGACAAAGAATCTTATATCTGAAGTTGAACATGATTATCAACCTTTCGGCAATAGGAACCCACTAAAGAATTGAAACAGGAACGTAGTGTGTCCAATGTCTTCTATAGGAAAATTACTGTGGAGAATGGACTGGAACTGAGAGGGTAAGACATAAGAAGTGGTAAAAATAATTCTGAGGACACTGTGGTAATGCAGGCACAAAATGATATGAAAGGGTGGCCACGGGAACAGCCACATGTGTGAAATACTAAGAGCCAACAGAACTTAAGGACTGATTAGATATAGGGGCATGAAAAGGGTAAGGGCCAAAGATGATCCAAGACGTTTAACAGAGAGTGATCAATGAAAGCCAGTACCAGTAACAGAAATGGAAAGTCATAATCAAGTCCTCTTAAGAGAAGGGAATGTGCTTTGTTAGAAGTCTCAGGTAACATCCACCCAATTGAAGATACAAGACTATGTGGAAAAAAAGTCAAGGCTGGCAATGTAATATGTGAGTGGATCACAGTTAAGGTTTAAGGGTGAATGAGATCTCTCATAGAGGAGAAGGTATAAAGGGCCTTGAATGAAACCCTAAAGCCATATGATTTGCCCCTTGCTTGAATTATGTTTATCATGTCGTGGACTCATTCAGACTGTGACTTCCCTGAGGGCACCTCTGATCTCATCCTTGCATTCCCTAAAAGTATACATTAAAGAGTGTTTTACATAACTGGTGCACAGTAAGCAGCCTATTAAAGGAATCAGTTATTTTCAAGGTAATTTCTGATTTATATTTTCTGTTCCATCTGCACTCTGTATTTCAAAAGGTGGTGCCACAGTCGTGTCTGATTTCCCAAGGCTCTATAACTGATGAATTGACAGACAAGACTTTGGGACTGTGAAAAATACATCAGCCCCCAATGAGATTAGAACTAAAGGAAATCCCAACTAGAAGTAGGGAATACTCTTCAAGAAGTTTCTGCATAAAATTAAATAGGAAATATTATTTACTGAGGGAGAGAAACAAATGAAAATTTTCAATTGTATGCATGATACAAGTTGACAATGTATAAAAAGTAAAGAAGCTTCAGGTGAAATAAAGGATAAACAAGATAATTAAAGGGACTTGAGGACAGTTGAGAGGGATACTTTTTTAAAAAACATATTGAGGGCAAAGTCATTCACCTGCTTGCCCACAAAATATTCCTAGGTATTACAGAAGTAGAATAAAAGGCTAACCTGATTCAATACTTAGATGAACAGTGTTTCCCCAAGCTGTATAAGGAAAAGGACTGCTAAAATCGATCAGGAGACAAATTGGATGACGGCCCCCGCCCCCAAATTAAATTATCTAGGCTACAGTATTCCATAGTGTTCTAACCCTGAATTATATAGCAAATGTTCTAAGTGCTTCCAAATAGGTGAGTGTGTCTGTGGGAGAAGTCAGGGAAGAGAAAAGAAACTCGCTGGAATCACAGATTCTAGGACCCTGACAAGTCAGGTAATCTGTAATCCAACCACCCTCTCAGTATCAGACAGCTTCCACAAATTTAAAAGATGGCCAACCAGTCTTTGCCTATTTCCAACAGTAAATGGACAATTGGTAAAGTGACTATTCTCTCGTTGGACAGCTCTAAATTGTTGTAAAACCCTTTGAAGTTATCCCTCAGTAACTCACTCCGGGTCCTGGTTCTCAAAGCAATACAGTGAAAAGTGAAAGTTGTATTTTGGATTTTTTTTTTTTTAACTTGAAAAAACCCCCAAACAACTAGATATTACTTCCTGGCGGCTCAATACATTCCTTTCTCTCAATAATAGGAAAATTGACTTTTTTTCCCCCAGCGTTTGACTCCCCTTAAAGAAAAAAGTAAGGTCAGGCACAGGTTCCTTTAGACTCCGAGCTGCGACCTCCAAAGCAGAGCGAAAAAAAGGGGCTTAAATAACTACATACACTAAGATATGCTGCAGCTGACATGAAATCCCCGTTGCCAAGAAGCAAGCAGTTCTAGCCCGTGTCGGGACACGATAGAAGCCACAGACCTGGTCTGGCCTCTCTCAGGCTGTGGGGGCCCAAAGTGCCTGCACCTCTCCTTGCCAACACCGCCGGGGGCTGAATGGGCGCTCTTTCCCAGGCCAGCGGCAAGCCCGGCGCCTCACAGGGCAGAGCGCTCGGCCCGGAGAAGCAGCAACGCTGAGAGGAAGGTTCAGTGAAGCACCTGGCAAAGCCCAAGCCGAGCCACCGGGCCAGCTGCCCGTACGCCCAACCACCGCGTCCGCCAGAGGCCACCCGAGAAACGCTACCAGTGGAAGCTCCTGGAGTTGGAGACGTTTCTGGCTGGGTCGCGGTCCCGTCTATTCCTCCCGCCCACCCTCTCTCTCCATGGCCCAAAGCTGAGCCGGAAGCCACCCCAAGGGGTGGTGTTTAGGAGGCACTCCGCCTTTGGGGCGAATGCTGCGGGCCGGCCCGAGCTCTTCAGCTAGCGGGCAGCTGCGGCGGTCACTCACCGAGAGGACGCTCATGCGGATTGGGGTCTCCAACAGGCACGCCATCTTGAGCCTTCCCACCCGGCTACGGCCGGTGCCGGCACGGGGGCCGGCACTTTCGACAAGGAACTATTGGGCCAACGAAAGGCACCTTCTGCAGAAAGTCGGGCAGGTAGACGAAAACACACCACGCTCTAGGCACAGCTGAAGTACGCCAGGGCCCGCAGAAGGGAGAGGAAAGGAAAACCGCGCCAAGGGCCTCCTCACGAATCGTCCTCCCAGAAACAGCAGCTACTCTCAGCCTGGGTTAGAGGTGGGAGCGGGCAGCAGTTTCCGCATGCGCAAAGAAGATCTGCCAGCCCCACCTGCCGCTCGCGGTGGGCGGAGCCACAGGGGCGGGGTCTCGCTCTGGCGAGGCAGTCTCGTTACAATGCGGGAGCTCACGTACTCCTGTTATGAAAAGTTAGTATGTGGAGTCACATATGTAATTTGAAGTTCACATTCATATTCATTATCTCACTCTTTTGCACCAGACTGCTAGCGTTGTTATTATCGCCATTTTGCAGATGGAGGGACTGTGGTCTCAGAACCAGGTCTTCAGCATAATCTGCCCGACCCATTTATTCTGGTGTAGTGTTAAGAATAGATACTCTAGAACAAGAACGCCTGGGCTTAATCTTTACTAGTTCACTTATTAGCTGCATTACCTCCAGCAAGTTACTTAATCTCCTTATGCTTCAGCTTTCTCTTCTACAAAATAAGGGTTATGAAAACGGAGAACTAAAGCTCTTTAGAACATGCCTGGAATGTAGAAAGCGTTATATATGTATTAGTATAACCGCAGCCTCTGAGTCAAATTAAAAAAAAAAGTGGGGGGCAAACATCTGAAGAATTAGCACTAAAGTGCTCTGGTAACTAAAGCCAAATAAAAACATCCTTCTAATTACATTTTCTGATTGATTAATCCAGCTTTCCCACTCCGTGTGTGTGTGTGTGTGCGTGTGTGTGTGTGTACAAAACTGCCCTGCATTTGGCTTGACAGGTTTCACGTGCGTACTGCCTGTAACCAGTAAGTTTTCATAGAATAGTTGCAATGAGCCTGTTTCATTACTTGTTTTGGTTTTTTTTTTCCATTTTTATAGCCACTCCTTAATTCAAGCTGTTACTACCTCTCCCATGGACTAGAGCAATAGCCTTCCAACTGATCTTGTAGCCTCTACACTTTGCTCCTCATGGCTTTCCTATCTTCTTCCTGTTTAGGTATCCCCCTCTTTGAGAAAGTTCCCCTTAAGCCACTTTGCTTGAAAAGCCTTCTACATTAAAACCTGTTTTTGCTAACAAAAGAAATCCAAAGAGAATTTTTGCTTTTATGAAAAAAGGTAGTAAATGAAAATAGCAGTTAGAGTTTGTTTGGCAGTGAGCGTTTATAAAGGCAGCTCTCAACCCCAGGCAGCAGGGGAGAATGACATCCCCAAGCTCCTTCCCCGGGAACTATGTTCAGCATCTCAGTATCAAGCCACCCATAGCTTTGAACTTGTCTGTGAACACCTGTGCTTTATCTCCATTTATTTTGTGCATCTCTTAGCAAGATACGTCCTAAGGTATCAGAAATGCCTAAAAGAGGTTATTTTTCAGGTCTGGAAATGCTCAGAAATGTTTCTAAATGTTTCCATATAAAGTAATGGTAATTGCCTCTTCACTTTATGTCGTTTTGGTTTAGAAAGTTTTGATAAGAACTCTCTAATTTTGGATAGTGGGGGAAACCTGTACTTGGTTTCCAAATTTATTATAGCCCTAATTATCCTTGCTCACCGCTCTGTGTTCCCAAACAACTGCTGAGTTTCTGGAAAGCAGGAATTTCATTTTAGATTTTTCCTTCTGCAGTATTTCCCAAACTTCAGTAATCTGCATACCACCCATGCAATCTTTGTCAGTCTAAACCCAGGTGTTATTATTCACTCAATATTTTTCTTTAAGGTCAATTTCAATTCATTAAATAGTTTTATCTTCATCCTAAATGATAATAGTCTGTAAAATCAAGTTTTTTGTGCTCCTTATTTTTATTCTAGTATGTATTAACATAATAACTACAAAAAAGTTTAAATGTCCATTTGTCATCTAAAATCATGCCATATACTGCATACCATAAGAGAGCAGAGCCATAACCTTTGGAACAGAGGATACAAAAGTATCAGTTGAATTTTCAATTGACATTTGTACGATATAGAGTTGTGATAGCTGTGTTTGTCCATGCTTCATCCATTAGCTCAAGCAATAAATCCTCCAGGAAGCCCCTTCCCCAAGTATAAGTTAAATGACCCCTCCCCATGTTTTAATGAATTTTTAATGTTCTTGCCACTAACACAGCATCTCCAACAATATATTGTAAATTTTTAAAGATGTTATCTATTCATTTGAGAGAAAGAGAACGAGAGAGCACAAGCAGGCAGATTGGCAGACAGAGGGAGAGGGAGAAGCAGGCTCCCCACCCAGCAGAGAGCCTGACGTGGGGCTGGATCCCAGGATCCTGGGATCATGACCTGAGCTGAAGGCAGACACTTAACCAACTGAGCCCCCCAGGCACCCCATATTGTAATTTTTTTTTAATTGTTTACTTGTTTGTCTCCCCATTATACTCTTCAGGACAAGTACTAGGAATTTTATCTACTAGGTCTTTTATCTCACATCCTAGCATAAAATAATCATGGTAAATGTTTATTGAATGAATTTTTTACTTAGTTTGGTAACCCTCACAGGCAGATCCTGGAACAGTGATTTGGGTGCAGGTAGTTTATTTGGGAAATGTTTCCAGAGACCAGAATTGATGGGTCAGGGAGAGTAAAAAAAGAAAGAAGGAAAAGTTAATATAAGGATCCATTATTGAAATCACTGCTTTCTCCTTGAGGACCTCTGAAAAATGTACAGAATGCTCCCCTGGATAACCCTCTTGAAGCTGGAGCATTTATCCACCCTCCCATCCGGTATTGGTTAAGGGTTTCCCCAGGGCTGATAACTGTCCTGGATTGTACTTGTGCACAGAAGAGAGAGGGCTTCCTTAACCTGGTATAGAAACGCAGAATGTGTAGGCTTGATTTTGGAGTGCAATATAGACGGCATGAATCTGAGCTCGCAGAAGAACCATCATTACAGCTGTGGCTGAAATCAGAGTGGACAGGAGCTAGGGAATGTAACTAGAGCATCCAACACCTCTGCTACTCAGGCTTTCCTATTTTATTTCCAGAAGACTGACATAGCCATTTTATGGGAAGGAAGCATTGATTAGCAAACTTCTAAGCTTGGGGATCAGGAATCTCATTCCTAGGTCAAATTTTGCTGCTAAAAACCCTTAGGTATACTCTTCAAAGCCAATTAATGAGTAGAAATTGACGGGATAAGATTTTGATTCAGCTTTCATGTAACAGCAACAACAGAACAGGTAACTTTGGCACAGTGGTGGGAAGAGGGAACTATCCACACTGACTTCCCTGCAAACAGGAATGAAATTTCTCCCCATCCTCCCATGGCTCTTATTGCAGAGCAGTATTAATTTCTTTTCTTTCTTTAAAGATTTTATTTATTTATTTGATAAAGAGAGGGAGAGAGCAGGAGCGGGGAGGGGCAGAGGGAGAAGCAGGCTTCCCACAGAGCAGGGAGCCCGATGTGGGGCTTGATCCCAGGACCCTGGGATCATGACCCGAGCCCAAGGCAGACACTTAACCGACTGAACCACCAAGGCGCCCCGAACAGTATTAATTTCTGAAAAAATAATGACAACAAAGTGTGAACTTAATAAGGCAAAACAGTAATGCAAAGTAAAAAGTAAGTAGCCAGAAAGAAATTTGAAAAGTATTTATAGATGTCTAAGTGCAATTGCCAGGATAGAGAAAGCGGAATTTTTGAAAGTAGAAACATACCTATGCAAAAAGAGGAAAGCATAAAGTATAGAAAGATAGATGTAAACAAAAAATTGAATGGCCTCCAAAGGACTTTGGAAGAAACTTTAACAAGATTTGACAACAGAGGCGAGTCTTTAGAACAAAAAGAGAAAATGCAGTAATGGTGGTGTGGAAGATATAGTTCAGTTTAACAGTCACTAACTGTGGGTTTATTTGTGCACATATTGTATGTACTGGGGATTCAAGGTAGTATAAAGACGTGGTTCCCAACTTCAAGCAGACAGGAATAAAAGTGACACTCTGAGAGGTTCAATAATTTATTTAAGGTTGCTTAGGGGATGAATAAGAGGCTGAATCAATTTAGGCACAGGCTTCTCTATTTCAAAATCCTTACCAGAGCCCTCACAGTCTCCTGGGACCTGACAGGCCTATCCTACATGGGACAACTAAGTACTCACCTAAGAAACCAGCTAATTTAATTAAGCAAAATCTACAAGGGCTTTGCAATGGGAAATAATGCATCAGTAATTCATCAGGTGTTTGGAGGGTATAAAATATGCATGTGCATAAAGCAGAATTAGTAAGGTGTTGAAAAAGTCTTTTATTAGAAATTATAGTAAAAAATGTTCTTTTTATAACCAAATTATGGTAGAATTCCAACTTACAAATATAGAAGAAATGATGGAATTTGAAAGCCACCACATGACAACCACGTGAGCTATCAATGTTTGAAGCAAGAATCATCAATGGATGCTTACACTAATTGGTGAAAATATAATGAAAAACAGGATATTTATCCAGTCTCAAAGCATCTTCCCACAAGTGACTTATGATGGTAGAGAAACTTGGTAGACACCAGTTATTCAAGCGATTGCAATTAATATCACCACTAATGGGATAAATAGACACTATGATAGGATGTACTGGTAAGGATACAACACCACTTCCATGGTATTCCTGACAAAAATGCACAAGTGTAATCCTGAGGAAACATCAGACAAACCCTAATTGAGGGACATTCTACAAAACAACACATCCACATCCTTCAAAATTGTCATGAAAGACAAAAAGAAAAGCTGAAAAATTATTCTAGATTAAAGGAGACTAAAGTGACATGACAATCAAATGCAACTTGTGATCTGGGGTTGAATCCTGGACAAGGAAAAAAGCATTTCCCCCCTCTTGCTACAAAGGTCACCAATGGGAAAGTTGGCAAAATCTGAGCAAAATCTGTAGATGATTGCTAATCACTGCAGCTGTCCTGAGTTTGATAATTGTACTGTTTTTCTGAAGAGAATGCCCTTCATACACAGTGAAGAATTTAAGTGTAAAAAATTGAGTAGCTGTGAGTTAAGCAATTGTTTTTTTCTTTAATAATGAGAAAGGAACTCATTTATTTATTTTTTTAAAGATTTTA